AGTTAAGTTCAAACAAATCATGCCATGGCGCTAGATCGCCCCATCTGCAAATCAAGGCGTTCGAAGGGAGGGCCCTTTCCATGCTGAATTGGAACAGAAGCTCCCAGAGGGCCCAGCGGCTGCAGCTGACATGACCTCAGCCCCCACAATGTGGAACAGATTGAAGTGGCGGTCAGTCAGAGGGGTCCAGAGAGCTGGGCCCGTCAGTGTCCCCCTACACCCCCACACCCCAGGCTGAAGGCAGGCCTGCGCATGCGAGTCACCCCGCCTTCATTCTCCCTGCCACCAGCAGGGTCCCTGCCCACATCCCAGGGGTGTCCTGTCCACCCGAGCACAACAGACTCACAGGCCCTGAGGAGTACGTGCTCGGACACACGTACAGGCTTTGCAAACAATGCAGGGAAATAAAGTTCTCACAGGAAACATTATCATATTGACTCACTACAGACCCATCCATAAAACAAACTCGGCAGTACCTGGCCTGCCTGGGAGATAGCAAACCCAGCCACGCTTGGCCTGCCCCCTGGGAGGAAGTGGGTGCCACCCTGAGGGGAAGGGCAGCTTCCCTTGGCAGTTCTCACCCTGGGGGGGGGGGGGGGATCGGAATGATTTGTCAGAAAGAGATAAAAAGATTTAAAGAAAAGAAAAAAAACAAAACCTCCCAGAGCATTGCTGTCTCCTTGCCTTGACACAATAACACAATATCTCTGTTGCGAAAACTGCTCTTGACACCGAGGCATTTTGCAAGTCAGCTGCCAGGTCTACTCGAGAAGTATTTCCGTCTCCAGAGGCCCGGGTCTTCATCAGGCCTCGCTCGGCACAGCCAGCTTGACGGTCTCCAGTGTTGAAAGAGATTTGTTTCCAAATCTGTTTCCAGATTTGGGAGACAGCTTAATGCATCTGCTAGGCATCACGTGGACAGGCCTCTGTTACATGGGGCCCACTTACTGGGAGCCTCAGTTTCCTCCAATGGGAGTGGTCACCAGGCTTGCAGGAAGCAGGCGTCTGTATAGCACGCGGCAGTGTTCGTTATCTTTAGTGTTTGGGGATTTTCCTTGCCCTTTGTGGGAAGCAGCTTGGAAGAGTAATTTTAGGCATCCAAAGACTGTAAACGCTGGCTTTACAAGGAACGTGGCATCCCCCAAGGGCCACACCGGAAGCCCAACAGAACAAACTGGGCCTTACCTCAAAACTACCTATAGCCCTTGGACTTAGGACTGAAATCCCCTGGCGGGAGAGGAAGCCAAGGGTGGCCACCCCAAGAGTGTGGGAATGGCAGTCGTTGGACCTTGGGTGGGACCCCTGACTCAGTGGGCATCCAGTGAAAGGGGACCCAGAATCGCCATAAATTTACTCTCTCCATCCTCCCCTTGCGTGAATATGACAGGTATTCATCTGAGAGGTAAAGGATCTGCTCTTGTAAGCAATGTTACAGGAAATCTTCCCCTAGAACTAACCCCCAGGCCCAATGTAAACAGAGCTCAATCATTTAAGAATCCCATCTGTACAAAGCAACAATAGCAGTTCACAGCTGGACTAACTTGCATAAACCTCTCTTCTCAACACTACCTTAAATTCCACACCCTGGGATAAATAACTGATGTTAGCAATGCAATCGCCTAATGCCCCAGGGAGATGATTGGCAATGTTTTTCTGTTTTGTTTGTTTGGGCAGGGGTTGGGGGTGGGGGGGGTGTGTGTTCTTGTTTCTTTGGGGTTTTGTTGTTGTCATAAGACTGTGACATAAGATAATATGACTGCTAATTAAACCAGAGTTGTTCAGAATCTGTGGAGAAGCAGATGGATTCTAGGCTCCCACTTAATTCTATTCCCAATCCAAGAACAGTTTGTTCTGCTAACATGGCCTGCTGGATGCTCACCTTCATGAAGTGATCACTGAAGATCAGGGGCCTAGCGCAGAGTGTGGGGAAGAAAGCGGAGGGTGCTTGGCTGTCGGTCAGAATAGTGACTGGGGTCTTGTATTCAAACATGCAGCCATCTAAACTAAGTCCACACCAGCCTGTGTGACCCAAAGTGATGATAACAAAATCCAAATATGATGAAGGGGTACGTACCAGAGCTTAAATTGTGAACATCCAATTTGTAGAAGGCTCTGGACGACTGTGGGAGCCCAAAATCCATCTGCAGAGTATCAGGTCAGATTAAGCGTCTGAAAGATCCCCTCTGGCCACAGCTAAGGGATGGGAACAGCTTAGCTCTCAGACAGAGACTATTGTAAACGTGATTATGGTTGATGGAACTATGGTGTACGATGCAGCCTGGTTAGGTGACCTCCCTACCACCCTCCTGACCCAACCGGAATTTGCTCTATGTTTAAATTTAAGTATTTCTCACTTGTTCCAC